TTCTTCTTCTTCTTCTTCTTCTTCTTCTCCTTCTTCTTCTTCTGCCTCTTCGCGTACACCAGCTTCAACAATCTGTATGCAGATTGTTGGTTCTTTGCCTCTCAGGTAGACGTACTCCGACTTCGAAGGAAGCACCCCCCCCTCCCCCCAGTTTGTTGGCTCTTGCGAAATTCTTTTTGAGAAAGCAGTGGATCCAGTCATGTTTCCCCACAATGGGTCCGGCCTCCCACAAAGGGAAAATAAAGTATTTGAATATTAAACAGCATGGCCAGATTTCACGCACCGTTCCACCTTGCCCGGACGGTTTCAGCGAACTGCATGTTATTGAACGTCACTGGGTCTGTGTCCTAGTTCTTTGTTACATTTTGAGCACCTTCGCAGGCTGCGGCCTAGCTTTTTTTTTTTCAGTCGGTGAATGTGCTTCTCTTTGTTGTCTTCGCTGCTTTCATATTTTAGATATCCGAAACGTGCTAAGTAATAGCGAGGTGTCGTGTTAGATCCCAGCTGCGGGCCATTTGGCAACAGACCGCTCCACATTGATTTCGACAGTGGTTTAAAGATCCGACCGTTGAGTAGGCAGAGGCGGACACTGTGCGTAAAAGTGCATAATAAAACCAGCAAGGCTCGGTAGTCTAAAATCAAGTTTTAACCCATTTCTCTTAACGAAAAAAATATTTAAAATAACAGAAGCAATGCTCGAAATCCTAAGATCCCAAGATATCTTCTCCTTCTTCTTCGCCGAGTTCACCGACTGTAAACTTCGGCAGAAAGTTCTGGTTGAGCATCCACCTCTGGACTTAAGACTTGTTCCAGAACCTGAGTGTTGCGTGCACATCTGTTTTACAGATCTGACTTTTTGTATGCAAGACTGTTGTTTCTTTGCCTCTCAGACAGATGCATTCTGACTTCGAAGGAAAAACCCCAGTTAGTCGACTCTTACGACATGCTTGTTGAGGAGGCAGTGGGTCTATTCTTGTTTTCCCCACAATGGGGCCGTGTAACCCACATGGGGACTCCCATGCTACAATTGTGGAAGACTTTTTTTTTATCGCAGGCAGATCTTGCTGGTCACACTCGCCATCGCCATGCACTGTGAGTCCCGTGCCTCCTCATAGCACAATAAAACACTATCGTCTGGAAAGACGGAAAGGTGACAGTCAGTCAATGCTCGGAATAGTATTAGTAGTGACAATGTAATAGCATCAACAACTGCAACAGTAGCAGCAACTGCAGCAATGATTTACTTGAATACTAATAACGATCTCGATGCAGAAGTAAAACTAGTAGTAATAGCAGCAGCAGCAGCAGTTTTAGTGGCCGTTCGTTATTTCTAGTCTGCCTCTTGTCTTGTATGGGGGGACTGCGTGATCTCGAGGCATGGAGTCCGCCTCGAGTGCTAGAGGTTCCGGCTTCAATCCCCGGTAAGGGCTGGAATTTTTTCACGTGGACTTGGACTTCTAGTTATTCCCCCTGGTCTCTGTGAGTAAGATCGGACGCCCGTGTGCATTGTTGCGCATGTAAAAAATCCTTTGGCATTTGGGAACCAAAAAAAGAATAGCTTAACGGCGCTGCCCCAGTACAAATTTGGAGTTTAAAAAAAAACATATAGCCAAAGTATTTCAGGATTCTCGCCGGTGCTGCAGAGCCTGTGCACTGTGCTGAGCTTTTCCGGACTCAACTTGTCTTGTATTTTGGTACAGTTAAACCTCACACTCTGTCTCTCCATTTTCCACACGAGGACCCGAAGACGATCCATCAGATAACGAGCTTCGGCCTTGCATACACCGATGCCCAAAAATAAACAAATAAAAAATAGCCAGCATATATGGACTTCCTATGGGTCACAGCATTAACTGTATCCCAAAGCTCTCTCGGCCTCCACAGACCGGTTTCACATTTTTTTTCGCGAAATAAGGACCAAGATAAATGCGTCAGACAACACGTAATACTCCGGGACGATCCAAACATTACGCTCATTCTAAATATATCCTGAGGCTCTGTCGAGGGCTTTTAGAACACTAGTTGTAATATCATGTTCTTTCATCTCGTTTTAATATTTCTAGGATTGTAATTTAAATCTACATCATTTCAAAATAAATATACGAAGAAAGTTACAATTCTAAACTTAAAATATTAGTTAAAACTGGTCAATCTTATTATTATTTATGAAACATAAGGAAGGGAAAGGAGGTAATTAAAATGCCACCAATCAGCGAATAGGAAATAACACGCCCACTATTTATCGAAGGATTTCATTGGTTAGAATGTTGGTCAGCCAGGAACAAAACCGCACTGAATACCGAAAGAGCTCACATTTTACGTGTTCTTTCAGACAGACGATGTTATCATAGCGAAGTGTGTTTAACTTTGTGTGTGAGCGTGATTGTGTGGAATTGATGTTCTAGGAACGAAAGTTTCATCGACTTATATATAACATTTCGTTGATAAAAGTGGTAAGTAGTAATTAGATTAGTTAATAGTAGCAATTAAAACAACGATATCCTGTTCAACCTATCTGGATTAATATATTATATATAGTTAGGTAGGCGATTTCATTTATTTTATGTTTGGTTGGTGAAGTCATTTTGTCAAAACTTTTGGTTATTTAAATATATATTGCACTGATTAGTTGATTACGTATATATTGTATTCTGTTAAATCTTCAATGATTTGTGGCATCGTTTCAACGATTGAAAATAATTTTACTAACGTTCCTTTTTTTCGAATTCGCCTAGTCACCTGTCAGCCTCTAAGTACCCGGTAATGTCATCGGAAGTAAAAGCAGCTCGAATGATGGTGCCTTCTCGCACTGGGTGCCGATTGGTCTAAAAAAGTAGCGTATATCTAGCATTGTAGCATCATATGCTCTAGGCTTATGCGATACTAGCTTAAGAGGAGCCCTTAAAAAAAAAGTAAACGTCCCATTTCCACGACATTATTATGCCTATATGGCTTGAACTATATTTGTATAGACTAATCGGCACAAGATGGGTGATGTCGCCTTTACTTTCCGGGACTGCACCAGGTACCCACTCAAAGCCGGGTCGACATGGCAGACAAGGTCATTTTTTTTTAAAGTCCGGCTCCACTAGGAAGCGAACCCAAGACCTTCCGATCCGCACACAAGCGTCTAGCCGCTACGACACGGCGAGTCCCAGGGGTCTTATTACTTTACTTTATTGTTGACTGTCTAAAAGTTATAACTTGCTAGTTAATGGTTCATTGTTGTTTTACCTTAGTTTTCTTTTTTATGTAATTTTTTTAAACAGACATTATGAATTTTTTTTCCTAATGTGTGTTACATTTATTTAATTTCATTTTTTACGCACTTACATTTTGTGGGTACTCCTGGGTCACGGGTGAATAATATCAGTAATTTGCATACTATACTATACCGTACCATAATATCACGAATTTAAGTAAGTTAATAGTAACTTATCATCCTACTCAAATTAGATCTAAGGTCGTATCATTAACCGTCGGATCTGGATACCCCAGTAAAGGACCCTTTTACTGCTGGACATAAAAGGCTAGGCCTATAATACTATATTTAATAGACCAGTCACTGAGTCAGCAGTTGGTTACCTTAATACTGTTGAGTCATGGGTGTTATCTTTAAGAATGTCATTGTGTAGAAAAGGGGATATGTTGCCTGTCTTGTTTTTATTTTTTTAATTATACGTCTCTTAAAACCTATCCAGGAGGGAATTAGAGGTTGAATGAATAAGATTCAGATTGGGAGGACCCGGTAAATTTGAATAGTTATACTATAGCAAAAAAATAGGACTCACCACTATCACTAAGCAGTTTACTGTCTGTCCCATATTTTTTTAACACTGTTAGTTGCAGTTACCTAATCTTGACTAACGGTTGCACACAATTTTGTTGTATTAAAGCTCCACCCTGGCTGCTGCCGGGTGCCCCAATATTACCCAGCCTATGGGTTGAACGGGGTTTCTGTCACCTGTACACAGTGATCCTCATCCAAATGATGGCATTTTCTGTGATGTCTTGTTGGGGTTGAACATCAGTCAGCAGGCTAACCACTGCTTAAATGTTTTAAAGTGACAGAAGCACAACTTAGTAATACAGAATTATATAATTTCCTTTTTAATCATTGATTTGTTGTACTGTAGTTATTTATAATTATTAAGACTGAAAGTAACTAATCATGTTGGCCCTCCACTACAAAAGTGTTAAATATTGGCAGTAAATGGCAGTTTAGTCCATGACATATGGAGCTGTTCATTGTGTCTGTTGACAACTTTCTGTCTCGTATACTGTGACAATCATTTTTGAAATAGTTCCTTCATTCTCTCGAGTTAAGATCTGTCTAGGTCTTCACTTCCCAACTTTTTCATAATCATGGCATACCAGTTTTCCCTCTTCTAACAGGGTACCTATCAAATGTTGGGTCCCCCCGTGTATGTTCCAGGGCCCCGTTGCGGGGAAAACAAGAATAGACCCACTGCCTCCCCAAAAGCATGTCGTAAGAGTCGACTAGTTGGGGAGCTTCCTTTGAAGTCGGAGTGCATCTGCCAGAGAGGCAAGGAACAAACAGTCTGTATTCAAGAGAATAAGATCTGTAAAACTGATGTACATGCAACACTTAGGTTCTGGAGCAGGACTGCAGTTCAGTAATGGACAGCAACCAGAACTTTCTGCCAGAGTGTACAGCTGGTGAACGCGAAGAAGAAGAAATGTTGAGTCTTCTATTAATGCGAGTAACAAGATCTGTTTGTGGGTTATTTCTCTCAAGATATCTTTATGTAATAAATGAATAAGTTCTTCATGTTCTGACCATGTTTTTCTGATCTGTTCAATGTTTTTGTAACGAATGAAGTCATTGTTTTAACGATTACACAGTTATAATATAATGTTTATACACTAATTACTATTTCACAATGAGAAAACAAAAATAATGATTTGTTACATATTGCCATACATTTTGACACATTTTCCTTTTCTTGTTTCAGATATACCGTCCTCAACTCTTAAAAATGCTTAAAGAAATTACCAAAGCCGTGGAAACTTTCCACACAATTGCTCTTGGAACCAAGAATAATTCCAAAAAGATTCCAGAGCCCAAGCTTTCAGCTTTCGTCTCAGCCCTAAGTGATCTACTTACAGCCCGATATGAAAAAATGTGGTTCCCTGAAGACCCTGACCGCGGAAGTGGCTATCGGTGCTTGAGGGTGAATGGTCAAAGTATCGATCCTATCATTGTGAAAAGTTTGAAACAAGCCAAAATTAGGATTTCTAAAGACTTAATTACCACTGAATTGACTATCTGGGTAGACCCTGGAGTTGTGTCCATGCGTATTGGAGAGGATGGCAGCATTGGATCTGACGTAGTGGATGAGGAAGTTTACAATCTCCGATACAAGAAGGAAAGTTCTCAGAAACAGTCAGGAACGGAGAGTGGGGATGAAGGTTTCTCTTCTCGCAGCTCAAGTCCCGAAACCAGTATTTCTGATTTTTCAATGTCTGAGAGTTCCTCCGCAACTTCCTCACCCATTCCTTCACCACCACCACCAGCAGCAGTACAGGTCAACACCTACTCTGCTCCCACTCGTGTTTCATCCTACCCAAGGGTCTCAGAACAGCCGGTGACAACCCTTTTATCTCAGCAACTTCAGACAACCCTTTCATCTCAGCAACTTCAGAGGACTCAGTCACCTACAGTCAGCCAGCTCCAACATCATGATGTTAGATCTCAGTTCCGACCAATGGTTTCCTATGGTCCTACTGTGTTGCCGTCTGCCAGTAGGGACAGTTTGATTCATTCAGCCTATATTCCAAGTTCACAAGCTGTTCACAATGCATCATACGTCAGCCGAGCTCCTGTCAGTCGTTTAGAAAATATTCGCTCGGGAGCATCGCAAGATGCAGCCAGAAAAATGGCTTTTAATCAGTACCATGCCATGTCAATGGTATATGGAGGCAGCCTCCAGCAAGCAAATTTCTACGACATTCCAACTGTGGCTTAGCATATCTCTAGAACAGCAGCTTGTATCTAGAGCGTATCTAGAGCTATTGAATGTTGTATACATGTTATTGTGCCATTTCAGTGTGAAGCTTGATATGTATATATTCAAACTGAATTACATAGGGAATATCACAGTTCCTATTTTTAGCCAATTTTTTTTTTTTTTTTATAAAAAACGTGGCAACTTTGAACATCCAGAGTACTGCATGTGGAAATTATTGTTTAAAAAATATATAAGCAAAACAGTTTTTTTTTGGAAATGTATATAAGCTCTGCATTAACAACTCAGATTTCATGGATGAGCATGGAAGATATTTAGGATTGTGCCATAACAATACTGTAGTAGCTGTGAGGATGGTTTTTAATTTTCTTGCAGTTGAATTCAAATCTGAATGCATTATTATTGCTGAACCTGCACAAATTGGCGAAGCTGGTGATTTGAATTGTGGCAGTTTTGATAACCAACTGTATTTTAACTACTATTTTTATGCTATTTGGATCTAAAGAATTGAAAATGTCTTCCAGTTTGCCAGATTTCACAGTACTGCTGAAACAAAATTGGACTTCAAAATAATGTAGCTGAAAATTTAAAATTGGCTGACTGAAAAAAAAAAAAAAGCGAGCTCATCCAGGTATTTTTAGTGCCAATTTGTCTCCCAGGTTTGGAAGGACGGCTAGCTCTGGATTTCCAGGCAAAAGGGAGTATACAGTCATTTTCTGATCTAGTTAGAAACATAATTTTACGAACTCTTGATAATTGCAGATTATCTGCTTGTTTGAATACAGTATCATTTTTTTTTCAAGTTACAGCCTAAGCACCATTGAATTCTTCATTTCCTACTTGTTTCTGTGACATATAATGTAATATTTTTTTAATTTAAGTTCATTATGGTGTAAGAGAAAAAATTCAAGTAGTCTCCTACTGTGGAATTTTATTCTTGAACACACGGGTCTTTGTATTATTCCATAGTTGATTAATCAGCACGTCATATGTCACCCAGTTGGCATCTGTTGGTTCCACATTTGTTGACAGATGTTCTGATCTCAGGTCTGCGTGGCAGTTAAATGGCAAAGCATAAGTGCTATTTATCAATATGTATACTAGTAGAGCGTTATCAGTTATACCTAGGGCATTTTTTTAGTGTGTGTAAATTGCAAACCAGTGACCAGGTTACCCAAACTGTGATATGTTTTGATGCGGTTATATTTGATATTAGTTGTTTAGTACATATCACACTACATTTTGTTCATATTACATCATCATTCTTTATTTTGTAACATGCACACTTATATATTTCATTTGTTTCCAGTATGTTTCATGTAATCAGTTTTCTCTAAAAGTACTAATTTTTTCCCCTTTAAATTATGAAGCAGACACGTGCACCTGTCGTTTTGTGAGGTATAGCCTTTTCCACAATAATAGACTGTACAGGTTCTGGGTCATAATCTTCCATTTTTTAACATTTGTTAGTTTATTTATTAATATTTTTTAATAATAAGATTAACTAAAAATTAGTAATGTTTACTGGTCAATTTCTGATTAGCACCCATTTATAACAGTGTACTGTGTACAAGATATATTTATTTCTTGTTTCAAAAGTTATGTACAGTAACAACATAACTATGTTCTATGATAACTGATAACAAAACAGTAGGTACAATATTTAACAGACACACCACAGAAAAACTTGTACAAATTAACAGTATTAAAAGGTATTACAAAAGTTGACAGTACCAGAAAATTATGTTAATAGTTAAAAGTATTAAAAAAAGTATGTTCATAGTTAACAAAAAATGTCAAATGTTTAAATTACTAGTAAATTTTTGAGTAGTACTGAACAGAGAAGTCTTGCAAAAAGTTAACAACAGAACAGTATGTTTCATAGTTAACAGTAACAACACAAAAGTGTAAAGTGGTAACAATAAAAGATTAAAAATGTGTAACATAGACAACTTCTAGAACAATTCTTTTTCCTTTCCTCAATCCGGTCTTTTTTTTTTAGGATCAATATTTTTCCGGATACACAAATTTACATATCCTATTTTGGTTGATATTTATGTATCACACTCTGATTTCTGATATGTAAATCATACCTGAAGCAAATGAAATGTATACTGTTGTGTGTTTTATGAACATAGTTTCATATGTATATTCATTGTGTGTAGGGGATGTTTGTTTGTATGATGTGTTATGCATTTGCACATAATGTAATTATGTAAAGTCTTTCAATGACATTGTACCTGTTGTTCTGAGGTCTAGTATCCGCAGCTTACAGTATTTGTTCCATAGCTATACAAGCTTGGGGAAGACCATATTGCATTCAACATTCCTTCAGCATTGACTTTGGGAAGATAGTAATGTGCCTCCTACTCTTTTCTTTTCTTTGTATGTTGTTTTAGGTCCCTCATGTTGTATCATTTCTTTAAATTATTATTTTCTCTGCATGACATTTGCATTTTTTTTTAGTTCATTGTCTTTCTGTATCTTTGACTTTTCTAACCTTACCATTGCCTCTGACACTTCCGTGACTTTATTTTGTTGCTCCATTCATACGTGGTTCAGGCTTCTTTTTGAACATTAGTACTGAGCACTTATTTACTATACCTAGCAACATCCATTCATTGTTTCTGTACTTTGCCTTCATTCCTGATGTGTTAATCTCCACAGAATGTGAAGTTGGTGAATTTTATAGACACATCTGTACATAAACTGTTGTTGTGAGAGTGCTGTTACGCAGATCAAGAAATGGAATCCTGCTCCCTCCTCTATTTTAAACTAGTCAAACGACTCGTGAACGTTGTTTTTTAAACAGTTGGAGCTCAAATATGTGCACATATGTAAAGGTTTGTATATTTCCAAGTGCCATTACTTTATGTGTTCAATATTTGATGCAGATTTCAATGTTGACATGGTGTTTGATTGAATTAACTATGGACATTATACAAAGATACGAATGTGTTACCCAAAGTCTTCTTGCTTTATTTCATGCATGTCTAAACATTAGAAACAATATAAAAAAAGTTGTGTACAGATATTGTCTTCTTGACAAAATATATGTGAAATGTTGGAATAAATATTTCTTTCATTTGAACCATTGTCTTTTATTAATTGCATGTACCATGTATATGTTTTGTCTGTCTGTTCTGTTTGTTTAAATATTTCTATTTTATGTTGTGTATACTTACAAGCTTTTGTCTTACTTTTATGTTGTGTATACTTACACAAGCCTTTGTCTTACTTTTATGTTGTGTATACTTACACAAGCTTCTGTATTACTTTTATGTTGTGTATATTACACAAGGTTTTGTCTTACTTTTATGTTGTGTATACTTACACAAGGTTTTGTCTTACTTTTATGTTGTGTATATTACACAAGGTTTTGTCTTACTTTTATGTTGTGTATACTTACACAAGCTTCTGTATTACTTTTATGTTGTGTATATTACACAAGGTTTTGTCTTACTTTTATGTTGTGTATAGTTACAAGGTTATCAGTATTAATCTTTAGGGACAATAGATTACTGTGTGTGATGACAGCATGTCCAGAAAATGTCAAAGTTAAGAGGATTAGCTTTTTGCTCAGGGTGTTGTCTTATATGACATGATCTTGCTCCATATAATGACAAGCTGCCTGCTGGGAGCATTTCTCAAAGCATGAACACCACAACTCCAGTGGTGATTCTCGGAGTCCCCTATAAAAAGGTTGTTCCAATCAATGAGTATGCCCAGAAAGATAAGAGATGGACTGGGTCCAGAAAGTGTATTGTCTTTGAAGTGGTCACAGGCGATCAGTATTTTTTTTTTTTTTTGCCACGGTCTACAGGTGTGCTAAAAAAACAGTTAAACTGATACGCTTGCAGGAAAGGCTACAGTAAAGGACAGATGAGCTATGAACCAGTCTGAAATACTGAATGCTCTACCAGAAGAAGACGTTTGCGAGAACCAACTGATGACTGAATCTGTAACCATAATCAGACTGCTAGAATGATGAACGCAGAAGAAGAACAGCAAGTTGAAGGGGGGCGGGCGTATGTGGCCAAATAAGAGCACTGTGCAGGTAGCAAAAGGAGAAGGAATAAATCAAAACAGAACTTGTGTGGTCAACTGCTACTGAGGAGAGAATCTGAGCACCTTATCACTAGATGGTCTGATGTGCAATGAGGATCATCTGTTAACTAATAAATTGTTGGTACTACACCAGAATCACCTGAGGGCAGTGTTAGCGAATTTTCCCTCAGTAATATTCAGGACGTGGGCTCTGTGGCTAAGTCCATGCGAACGCTTCGCTTTGTGATGCTGGGATGCCGGGTTCGATCCCAGCTGCGGGCAATGCACCTTGTGTTGGTTTCGACAGTGGTATCAAGAAAGCCGACCCTCAAGAAAGCAATGGCAAACTACTGGACGTAAATTGCCTAGAGAAACCACACAACAGCCAGGGGCTGTTAGGGTTGGTTCTGCAACGTCCTGTAAAGAATACGCAACTAACAGAATATTCAGGACGGCTGCTTTAGCTTTACATTATTTTTAAGGCACACATGAATTCCTTATCCAAATAGGTAAAAATGAAATATAACTTTTCAGACAACAGCACAGTTTTCATTTAGGGTATTGTGAGATCTCAGTGTTCAAATGCTATTTTTCTCCTAGCAAGGATTTAGCACTTATGGTGACTCTGACATAATGCCAAGGATGTATGGTTGAACAGGGTATCTGGAATGTGTTCACACTGAGTTGACATCTGACTAGTTGCTCCGAGGGGATGTCAAACCTTAAGGTTGCAGTTCTCATCTGAAGAGGAAATACAGATAACGTTGGCACTTGTCCAATCCTTCTCTCAGAAAACCTTAGGAGACCAGTTGCCTTAATGGGGGGAGCTATTATGCAGTCCAAATATCCCGGTATGCTACACAACTTTGTTTTTATGGAGGTTGGAACAGAGGAACTCTTCAGGGCGTTAAAATTTCTATTAACAAGATTTTTTTTAAAAAAAAGCTCAAAAT